TTTTTTTTTTTTTTTTTTTGCTAGTTTTGTGTTTTATTTAAGATGTTCAGGCCTTGACTGCGTATTTCTGCAGTGGGTACAGGTGCTCTTTTAGCTGTTCCTTCTTGGTCTTCAGTTTCTCCTCATGCTTGTTGAGCCTTTGGTGCATGGCACGTGATTTCTTGAGCCACAGATCCAGGGGCTTGTACTTCTTGCCCTTATAGTGTTTTCTGATGTTCTCCTTCTGAGTCTGGTTAATAACAGTGAGAACACGGGCAATGGATTTTTGGACAACTAGTATTTTGGAGAGCTTAGAAACCACACCGCCTGTCGCTTTGGTTAAGCGCAGCTGGGAAAGCTCCACTTTCAGATAGTCCAGCTGTTTGAACAGCTCCTCCTCCTTCTTGCTGTGAAGGTCCCAAGCCTTGATTTTGGCCATCGCTGAGCAATAGAACCTGGCTGCTGCCTGATCCAAGCCCAGGAGAAAGAGGAGCCATTTTCCACTTTTAAGGAGGTGGTTGTTGTTCTGTACCATTGAGTTGCCTGTGACTCATAGCAACCCTTTGTACAACAGCCCTAAACCCTGTTCTCTCTGTCTTGTGCCAATCTTATTGTCTCTGACACACCTATCCCAATTACCCCAGTTACTGAGTGTTTGAAATATAAAATGATCTTATTGACCAAGGGGATTGCATTCTCAGGCTCCTTAAAATTCTTAGTATTAAATATGAGTCCTTTTATTATGTATAATGGTAACAGTAGGACAAGATGAGTGAAGGAACTATTTACTGTAACTTTATTTTCATTAAAACTCTTTGGGTAAATATCATATTACTTCAAAATTTAAAGTTTCAGAAATATACATTAGAGTCCTTAGAGATCACACCCATCCCACCTGCTCCCCTGCTCCCTGCCCCCATTGCCTCACACCTACAGTTTTGCCTTTCAACCCACCTGTGACAAAAGACTTGACTATATGAAGTCTGTCTCCACAGAACACAGCTCTCCATGGACACTGGAGTGATTGAAGGTGGATTAAATGTCATTCTCATCATCTAGCTATTTATTCATGGAAAGGAATTTGGCAGCATCAGAAAGAAAGGAGAAGCAGTTAAGAGGATGCGTGAAGAGAACAGTGCACATATCACCATCTCAGAAGGGAATTGTCCCGAGAGAATTTGCCCTTTAGCTGGACCCACTAATGCCATCATAAAAGCCTTTGCTCTCATCACTGACACTGAAAGAAGGTATCAGCAGCTCTGTGACCAGTAGCACATCTGCCAATAAATCCTCAGTAACCCTGAGGCTGGTTGGTGGTTCCTGTTAGTTAGTGTGGGTCATTGGAAAAGGTGGTTGCAAAATCAAGGAAATATGAGAGTACAGAGGCTCAGGTCCAGGTGGCAGAGAAGGTGCTCCCCAGTTCAACTGAGCGGGCCATCACTGTTGCTGGCATTCCGCAGTGTGTTACGGAGTTTGTCAGACAGATCTACATGGTCATGTTGGAGACTTTTTCCTCATCCCCCCCAAAGGGCGTGGCCATCCTTTCCTGGCCCAAGCTGTCAGTTCTCTGGTCATTTTTGCAGGTGGTCAGGACAGGTACAGCACAGGCAGCAACAGTGCAAGCTTTCCCAACAATATGTAGTGTATGTGCCTCATCCCTGACCTGGAGGGACCACCTCCAGACACCTAAACTATTCAAGGACCATATGCCAAACCCCAGCCAAATTTGTCCAAGCTGTTATCAATTGGTGATACAACAGTTTCATTTTCATATGGCACATCGCAACTCTGGATTCAGTGGCATTGAATCCAGCTCTCCAGAGGGGCAAGTCTGATGGGCAGATCATGATGCATCTGTGAACTCACCATTCCAAATTATTTTATTGGCTGCATAATTGGGCATCAAGACACCAAAATCCATGAGATCTGTCAGATGTCTGGGGCCCAAATCAAAATTGTAAATGCGGTAGAAGGATCAACTTAGAGGTTACCATCACTGGATCTGCTGCCAGCATTAGCCTGGCTCAGTATCTAATTAGTGCCAGGCTTTCTTTGGAGAATGGTGGCGTGAGGAGCAGCTAGAACAATGCAGATTCAGCCATAATTCCTTTTTGCTGTTCAAAAGATAGACTGGAGCTTTTCCTTTGTGAATAGAAACTGGAAAGAAAATAAAAAGATATGAAAGATCGCAGATCCACTCTGTATTCTTTATAAATTTTAAAATGGAAAAGCATAATTAGTTTGTTCCTTTTAATAGTGTAATCACTTGACCTTGATTTTATCTTCCTTTTTTGAAATGTCTGGCTGTTTAAATTCTATGTTACAGATCAGTTGCTTTGAAAAGTAATCCTCATTTTTTTTTACTTTCTCACTTCATAATAAACACTTGATCATTTTAACTATTTACTTGTAAGTATAAATGTTATTTAATAGCAAAAATAGCATTTGTTAAATCAGTTGCTATGACAAATGAAAACTGGTTACTTCTAGCAAAGATGAAAAACCTGTCAACTGCAAAGAAAAACTTTTCTCTTTTAAATGCCTATGATATATATTAATTGTTGTTCTTATAAACTAAGTGATTAAGGCTTATAACTTATAACAAAGGCTTTGTTAAAAATTTTTCTAAACTTTCTACTCTTCAGTATTGATGTGATTAAGAGTTATACACTGAATCTGGCTTCTGGATCTGTATTACCTGTGCTATGGTGTCTTCTCTATGTTTTATGAAAATATGAGAAAAGGACCTATGAGTCTTCACAGTTAATGATTTCTATTTCCTTTTTTTCTACTCCCTGCAGAGATGGTCAAATCACTGCAATACTAGACCAAAAGAACTATGTAGAAGAGCTCAACAGACATCTGAAGTAAGCAATGAATACTTCATGGGGATTTTGTTGGAAAAGAAAGGTTAAGGTGAAATAATAGACTGTGAAGATAATTCAGACAGTATTCAGCCGGAAGATGTCGAATTCCTGTATGGCATTCAGTGAACTATAGGCACCGAATAAATGACATTTAACTATGTTTATAACCTTTGGTCAAAGGCAGTGTTAGTATGCCATTATAGCTCTATTATGATAAAATAAAGGCACTTAGTTAAGAATTTGAAAATATATAGTTCCAGACCCTCTTGGCTCAGTCATGTATTATAAGACTGTTCTTGGATATACAGTTTATTAGTTTAGTGTCTTTGGATTAAGCCTTTCTTTCTGTTCTTTTCTTTTTTTATATATATTGACTTGATACTATTAATGTGTCCAGTCTTCACCATCACTGCCATCAGCAGTGAAGATTTATCAGAACTGTCCAAATCATGAAACACTCTTCTCTCTTTTGAGGAATATTATCCAAAAGATACTAATATTCTCAAGTACTTTGTTGGATTTTTTGGGGAAAAATAATTGCTATAGCTACTAGTTAACATTTAGGAAGCTTTGGTGGCTTGATGGTAAGGACTTGTGCTGCTAAACCAAAACAACAAGGCTTAAAAACTACCAACTGCTCCATGGGAGAAAGATGGGCAGTCTCCTTCTATATGATTTTATTGCCTCTGAAAACCTGCTAGTGGATCAGTTATGTGTTAATTTCAACTCAATGGTATACACGAACAATAGTTATCATTTTGTTGGTAGTATTTTTATATAAGATGATTATTTTAAAAATAAGTAAGACCTGTAATAGATTTTACATATACATATATCACTATGTGTTAGGTATTCCTGATTTAATCCAGAAAATTTAAGAATAAATTCAGTTTATATTCTCTGAGGATCAAGAACTAACAATGATGATAATGAAGTCATATATATGAGTCAGGTAAAAAGGTGGTAACAGTTGACAATGAATATAAAAATGACATTAGTAAATCCATATCTCAGTTTATTCATCTGTAATTAAGGATATTTATAACATGGTGTTGTTGAGTTAAATAATTTAGATTTATTACTATAATATATAACTATTAACATCATATATATATTTACTATAAAGTTAACATTTGTATATAGTAAATTAGCTATTTTGTTCCCTTTAGTGATTATGAAATATATAGTTCAGTGCCAAGGACATAGCAGTTGACAAGATAGACACAATTTGTGAGCCTTTTTAAAGTTTACAAATCTTGCAGGGATTGAGAACATTAAACAAATAATGATAAATGTAATGAGTATTTAAAAAGGAAAGTAGCAGAATATTTTTTAAGAAAGACAATTATTTGTTTGTTTGTTTGTTTTTTTACTCTTAATAGTGCTACTGTAAACAACCTTCAGGCAAAAGTGGATGCATTAGAAAAATCTAACACAAAACTGACAGAGGAGGTAAGTGTTGGGAAATTATGTTTCTTTGATTGGTGTATAGAATTTCCACTTTAAGACAGTAGGATACATTACTGGGGCCAGTTATTTCTAGATAACCTTAGCTGCTGATTGTGCAAACTGAGGGTAAAGTATTTTTATAATTATTGATAATGAGACAGACTACCAGGAATGATATAGAACAGAGAGCATGAAAAACAGGGGGCCAGCAGTTCCCATGACTGAAGGCCTCAAGCCATGCCTCTCTGGGTATTTATTGAGAATCATAAGGAAGGTAGAAAAGTAAAATCATAAGGAAGTTGTTGTTGTTGTTGTTATGTGCTGTTCAGTCGTTTGCAACTCATAACGACCCTATGTACAACAGCCCTAAACCCTGCTCTGTCCTGTGCCAATCGCATTGCCTCTGACACACTCATCCCGATTACCCCAGTCACTGAATCAATCCACCTCATAGAGGGCCTTCCCCCTCCTGCGCTGTCCCTCCACTCTACCCAGAAAACAAAGGATAATGGTAAAGTCTTTTGCAGATAAGGCCAGGTTCCTCTTTATGCTAGTCTCAGGAGGGAGAGATTCAGTTAATACAAGCTAAGAACAAGGTTAGGGAATGCCTTAGTGCTACAAGGTGACCTTCAGCTTGTATTAAGCCTCCCTCATTTTCTGATATATCATTTGGTCTACTATTATTAAATTTTGTATTTGGCTTCCCTCAGCTGATGGATTCAAACCTCGTGTCTTTGAGTTGGCAATGCAACTCCTTACCACTAGGCGACCAAAGCTCCCTGGTAGATGAAGAGTAACATGTAAAATAACAGTCTTTAATTATTTTTTTTATATAAAGATGGCAAGAAAAGCAGGCACAGTTAGGGTAGGAAGGAGTGCTTAGGTGTTACCATTACAGTAGAAAATTTTATTTGCCTACCTAGGTATCAGAAAACATTTATTACAAAAATAGTATGTCTTGGTTCTCAGGAATAGTGTGACCAGTGTTGTTGTCCATGGTACTTTGAATGAATACCACTAACTCCTTTTGAATGGATTGTTGTTGTTGTTGTTGTTGTTGTTGTTATGTGCTGTTGAGTCAAGTGTGACTCTTAGTGCCCTTATGAATATTAGATCTGGACTCTGTCTTATCCTTTGTCATCTTTTTTATCTCTAAACACTTGGACTCATTTCTTCAGTCAGTTTCACATCTTGTCAGAAGGGTCTTGCTCTCCTTTGCTGACTCTCCACTTTTCTGAGCATGATGTTGTTCTCCAAGGACTGGCCCTTCCTTACAAAGTATGTGAGGCAGAGTTTCACTATCCTTCCCTCTAAGGAGCAGCCTGGCCACACTGATAAGACATAGATGTTCATTCTTTTGACAATCCATGGGATATTTATTGCTCTTCTCTAGCACTACAACTTAAAGGCATCAATTCTTCTGTCTTTATTCAAGAGCAATAAAGAAAAATTGTTGAAATTACTGCCAATATTGACACTCTTCTAGTCAAAGCGTTTCCTCATCTTTAATATTCACACTTTATTCCAAGTGGAAAAAGCATGACATGGTTTGCATTTGTAAGGGTTTCCCCCACCCCTGCTTTAGTGTGATTATTCTCTAACCTTATTTTCAGGGTTTGGTATGTAGTGTAAAAACAGAAGAGGCTTGTAAGAAATAGGATGGACAGAGTTACAGGGCTGATCATGGACCTCATGTAAAATTTAAAGAGCTTGAATATTACCCTTTGCACTATGAATAGAGAGCTCTGGTGGGTAAGGAGTTGAATTGACAACCCAGTGACTAGAGGTGGGACCATACCAGCTGCTCCATGAGACACAGGTGGCCAGTCTCCTAAGCAGTTGACAGCTTCTGAAGTTTCACTGGAGCATCAGCCATGAGTCAGTTCCAACTCAGTGGCAGTGAATGAGTGAGTCACTGAAATTTCAAGTGGTCTTTGAAGATTTTTAAACTGAGACATGATATAGTCATAGCATTTTAGAATGATTATTTCAGAAACTTTTAGTAGAAACAGGAGTCGAGCCAGTAAGAAGACCTATTGATAGATTAGCCTAAAAAGAGTAGCAAAGGTCTAAACCAAGAATAGTTAGATAGAAAAGATTTTCATTAATGTGCCAGATCCAGCTCTCACCAGATCAGAAGAGCTAGGTATAAAATAGTCAGAAATTTGAAAACCAGTTGATGCCAAGGTGGTAGAAATGGGTTCTGCTGACAGCATATTATGTACCTTGGAAAGTGGTAAACCCTCAATTAGGACTTTTTTTGTTTAGAGATTTGGTTGCTAAGCTTTTCCAGTTTACAAATAGAGAAGAAGACAGAAAAGTAAGTAGTAGACAAATTTGGCAGGAATTGGTAGTTTACCAGACGAAAAGAATGAAAGAATCCAAGATCTATCCCAGATGATTCTAGTTATGATGACTCCTTAAAAAGTTGTTCTATGAAGGAACCATTTTAATCCAATAAATACTACATCAAATTTACACTTAGATCAATGAGTACAGCCTCATTACTGAAACAGACTTGGTTTGCTGTGAGTCACAGGCAACGTGACAGCACATAACAACACACAACAACAAGGCGAGAGGAGGGTAACCTAGTGGTCAGAAGCTGGGTTGCAGTTGCAAAGGCACCTGATTTGAGGCCGCCAGCAGCTCCACAGGAGAAGGATGGACAGCCTCTGAAAACCAGCTGGAGGGTCAGTTATGAGTCATTTCTGACTCTGCTGTACACAACAGGAAGAAAAGTAGTTTTCCCCTATAAAACTACATCAAAATAATACCTACCACAGCACTTAACCCCCTTATTCTATGAGAATGACTTCTCAAGTTTTCTCAGTTACCTAATTAGACTAGGTAAAAATGGAAGCTAGGTTGATAAAAATACCCTAATTTTTAAATTACTTTTTTTTTATAAACATGTTGAGTTGTTATTGTTTTTGTTTGGTGCCATCGAGTCAAGTATGGCTCATAGCGACCTTATAAACAGCGGATCTGAAACCTGTTACCCTGTGCCATCTTCACATATCCTGACACGCTAGAACCCATTGTAGCAGTCACTCTGTCAATACACCTGGTTGAAGGTCTTCCTCTCCTTCACTGACCTTCCACCCTTCTCAGCATCATGTTCCTCTCCAAGGAATAGCCCCTCCTAGCAGTATGCCCAAAATATGTGAGGTGAAGCCTCATCATCCTTGCCTCAAAAGAGCCTTCTGGCTGCACCCTCTTCAGTATATGTTTGTTTGTTCTTTTGGCAGTCCGTGGGATGTTCACCTCTCTTCTCCATCACCACAGCTCAAAGGCATCAATTCTTCTGTCATCCCTATTCATTGTCCAGCTGTCAGATGCATTACAAGTGATCAGAAAGAACATGACCTAAAGACACACCTTAGTCCTCAAACTGACATTATTCTACAATAATTTGGAGAGGTCACTAACTGTAGACTTTACACTGCAGTGCATTTCCTGACTCCTGGTATCAAGTGTGTTAATTGTGGATCCAATTAAGATGAACTTGTTGACAGTATCTTGTCTCTTCTCCAACCATCATGATGTTTCCTATCGGTCCAGTGGTAAAAACCTTTGTTTTCCTGACATTGAGATGCATTCTTTGATCTTCTGCATCAAGTGCCTCCAGTCCTCCATACTTTAAGCAAGCAAGGTTGTGTCATCTGTGTATCACAGGTTATTGATGAGTCTCCCTCTGATCCTGATGCCACTTTCCTCTTCATAGAGCCCAGCTTCTCGAATAATTTGCTTAGCATGCAGATTGAATAGGTATGGGGGGAAAATACAATCGAGATGCAGTCCCTTCTTAGTTTTAAACCATGCAATGTTCCCCTGCTCTGTTCACACAACAGCCTCCTGGTCCAGGAATGGGTTCAGTGCGATCACAATTAAGTGCTCTAGGACACCCATTCTTCTCAATGTCAGCCACAACTTGTTATGATCCACATAGTCAAAACGCCTTCACATGGTCAATAAAACAAATACATATTCTTCTGGTATTCTCTACTTTCCGTTAGGATCCATCTGGCATGGTGCCACAGCCTCTTCTAAATCCTGCTTAAACTTTTGGCAGTTCCCGATTTTTGTGCAGTTCTAGCCATTTTTGAATGATCTTTGGCAGTATTTTACTTGTATGTGATATTAATTCTATAATTCTATAGTTTCGACGTTCATTTGGATCACTTTTCTTGGGAATGGGAATAAATATGTACCTCTTCCAGTCCATTGGTCAGGCAGCTGTCCTCTAAATTTCCTGGCATAGAATAGTGAACACATCCAAGGTTATACATGCTAATTTAAACAAGTCAATTAATATTCCAAGCATGTTGAGTAGGCTAGCCTAGAGCTCATATTTGTTGTTAGGGACTACCTAATTAGGTCTCATCCTCACACTCTCTGCTGTACTTAAGACTATTTTTGAAGCCACTGTGTCAACCCATGTTGTTGAATGTCTTCCTCTTTTTCATTGACTTTACCAATCTTGAAGTACCAATCTCCAGGCACTTCATAGTATGCCCGTTCTTGCCTCCAAGGAGCATTCTAGCTGCACATCTTAAAATATATATTTCATTTGATGTTTTGGTAGACCATGATATTGTATTGTTTGCCAACACCAGAATTCAAAGACTGTTCTTCATTCCTTGATCATGTACATCCACATGAAGTGATTACAAGCACCATGGCTTAGGTCAGACACACCTTAGTCTTTAAAATGGCATCCTTATTCATCAGCACTTTGAAGAAGTCCTTGACAGCATATTTATCCAGTGAAGCACATCTTTTGTTTTCTTAGTTGTTGCTTCTCTGGATGTTGATTGTGAATCCAAGTTAAATGAAATCCTGGACAATTTCAGTCTTTTCTCCATCTATGATTATCTTGCCTATTGATCCTATTATGAAACGTTTGTGGGGTTTTTAATTGATGTTGAAGTGTCACCTATACTGAAGGCTTTGAGCTTCAGCAGTAATTACTTAAAAGTCCATTTTCTACAAGCAAGGCTGTGCCATCTGCATATCTTAGGTTGAAGTCTTTATACAATCTTGATGCCACATTTCTCTCTATATATGTGTGTGTTTTATTGACTGTCCAAAGACATTTGACTGTATGGATCACAACAAACTATGGCTAAAATTGAGAAGAAAAGGAATCCTGAAACACTTAATTGTGTTCAAATGAAATCTTTATCTTGACAAGAAGCTGTTTTCTGAATGAAACAAGGGAATACTGCATAGTTTAAAACCAGGAAAGGTGTATGCCAGGGTCCTTTCCCCATAGTTTTATGGGACATCAAAATCAGTAGCTAACATCCTACTTTGGTGAGTAGCAACTTTGGGTCTTAAAAAGCTTGCTAGCAACCATATATGGTGCAACTATTGGTCTCTTCATCCCTGGAGTAAAAAAGAGTGAAGAATATAAAAAAAGCATGGAAACAGCCCAGGATACTAATGAACCTTGCAAATCACAACCTCTATGGCTCTCAGACCAGAACTAGTTGATGCCCAGCTACCACTGCTGACTCTGGAAGGGATCACAATAGAGAATCCTGGATAGAGTGTGAGATAAAGGTCTAACAAAACTGGAAAACATAAAAATTGGCCAGGATTACTAGTCTGATAAGACTAATAAAACCTGAAGACTAATCATCCTCTTAATCATCCTTTGAACCTGAAATGGGTCTCATCAGGTGTCACATCTTTCAGCCAAATAGACAGCCCTGTAAGGTGAACAGTAAAACTAGAGAGTTATTTGGTCCTTAGAACAATCAAGCATCCAAGAGCAAAAGGGCACTGCTTACCCAAGGAGAAAGCTCAGAAGTTGGAAAGGAGAGGGAAGAATATCAATGGTTTAGTGGAAAGTGTTCTGTAAACTTTCATTCATGTTAAAATTTGTAGTTGGGGGTGGAATAGATTCCATGGCATTAGAAAACCTAACCTAGTTTTTAAATATGTTATTTCTTTAAAAAAAAAAAAAGAAAGAACATATGAGCAAGAGCCTATGGTGATGAAAGAAGAAGTTCAAGCTGCTTTGAAGGAAATAGCAAAAAACAAGGCCCCAGGAATAGATGATGTATATACCAATTGAAGTATTTCAGATAACAGATGTTGCCCTGGATGTGCTCACCAAGTTGTGCCAAGAAATCTGGAGAACAACCACTTGGCCAACTGACTGGAAGAGATCTATATTTATTCCCATTCCAAAGAAAGATGATCCAACTGAGTGTGGAAACTACAGAAAAGTGTCATTGATTTCACATGCAAGCAAGATTCTACTGAAGATTATCCAAAAACGATTAGAACAGCACATCAGCAGAGAACTACCAGAAGTCCAGGCTGGGTTTAGAAGGGGTCGTGGTACTAGGGATATTGTTGCTGATGTTAGATGGATCTTGGCTGAAAGCAGAGAATACCAGAAGAATGTCTATCTGTGTCTCATTGATTATGCAAAGGCATTTGACTGTGTGGATCATAACAAACTGTGGCTGATTCTGAGAAGAATGGGAATCCCAGAACATTTAATTGTGCTCATGCGAAACCTGTACTTGGATCAAGAGGCAATAGTCAGAACAGAGCAGGGTAACACTGCATGGTTCAAAATTGGGAAGGGTGTACGCCAGGGATGCATCCTGTCTCCATACCTTTTCAACATGTATGCAGAGCAGATTATCCGAGAAGCTGGGCTCTATGAGGAGAATTGTGGCATCAGGATTGGTGGAAGATTTATTAACAGTCTGCGTTATGCAGATGACACAACCCTGCTTGCTGAAACTGAGGAGGACCTCATACACTTGCTGCGAAGGGTCAAGGACTGAAGCCTTCAGTATGGACTGAGGCTCAATGTCAAGAAGACAAAGATTCTCACCACTGGACCAATTGGCAGTGTCAGGATGGATGGCAAAGAGATTGAGATTGTTCACAGCTTCAGTTTTCTCGGCTCCACAGTCAACACTCTTGGCACCAGCAGTCAGGAAATCAAAAAGCGTATCGCGATGGGAAAGTCTGCTGTTAGGGACCTCTCTAAAGTACTCAGGAGCAACAGTGTCTCTCTGGAGACTAAGGTGCACCTGATACAGGCCATGGTATTTGCAATCGCTTGTTATGCATCAGAGAGTTGGACAATGACTAGGGAGGACAGAAGGAGAGTGGATGCTTTTGAGCTGTGGTGCTGGAGAAGAGTACTGAATGTACCCTGGACTGCCAGGAAAACAAACAGATTCATCTTGGAGAGGATTAAACCAAGCTACTCCTTGGAGGCAAGGATTCTGGGGCTTCGTCTGACATACTTTGGACATGTTGCCAGGAGGGACGGGGCCTTAGAGAGGGACATCATGCTTGGGAGGGTGGAGGGACAGCGCAGGAGGGGAAGACCCTCTATGAGATGGATTGATTCGGTGACTGGGGTAATCGGGATGGGTGTGTCAGAGGCAGTGCGGTTGGCGCAGGATAGAGCAGGGTTTAGGGCTGTTGTGCATAGGGTCGCTATGAGTCGCAAACGACTCGACGGCACATAACAACAACAATTTTTAAATATTTTTTACACTTGATCTTAGCCAAAAGGCCAAGAAGCGATTAAGTATTCTTTAAAATAAGCTCTCTGTAAGAATATTTTTATGAGGTTATCTTTAGACATCATATTTGGAAAAGTAAGGGTCAGTGAAAGAGAAGATGATCTTGAGGGAGATGGACTGACAGTGACTGCAACAATGGGCTCACACAACAGAGATTGTAAGGGTGTCACAGGATGGGGCACAGTTTCATTGTTGTATATAGGATCACTTTGAAGTGGACCTGTCCCTGTAGGACCTCCTATCAATAGCATTCTTTCCTTCTAGAATATCCAAGCCTGTAATTGTTTTTTAGATCAGGAGTTATTCTATAATTAATAGAGACTTTTGCTTTTGGTTTTAAATGTATAGCTTGCAGTTGCAAACAACAGGATTATTACCTTGCAAGAGGAGATGGAACGAGTTAAAGAGGAAAGCTCCTATATACTGGAATCCAATCGAAAGGTTAGTATTACTGTACTTATAAAATATTTATAAAAAGCCTATCAGTGTATTCTTAGTACAGATTGAGTATAGAGATCTGTTCTGACGCAGCACACGTTTTGACTATACCACACAGAATGGTTTGACCTAAATACCATGTGATTTGAGTGAATGGTGAACATTTTGAAAGGGTATTGCTTTTCTTCAAGATGTTCCTTAGTTTCACTACTGCCTGTATTTAAAGACATCAAGAAATAGAAAAAACAAACCAAAAAATTTCATCAAGAAAAAAATTAAAATTTCTTATTTTTGTGTACTAATGGTTTATAGTGTTTACATTTTCTGTTTTATATTAAATATGCCTTCAAATATACCATGTATAATTTAGTTATGTGAAAAAAGACACCTTATTTATCTACTATCACTGAAAGTTTCCATATGAATGAATTTTTTTACTTAGCTCAGGCAGTAATTCATCAAAGTTTTTAAAAACAGCCAAACATATTTTTTATATATTGTACAATTCTAAATTTTCTTAATTAAATGGTCTAAGTTAGCCCTTTACAATAACTAAAGATCATAATTATTAGCTTTGATGACCCTTGGTTAAATAACAATGGCATAACTTTTGAAATAGCATTTTTAAGCAGCTATTACTACATGGTCCCAGATTGCTATAAATGTTTTTATACTTGCTTCTCTGCCTTTTTTTTCTGATAGTTCTTATTGGTAATGCTGGTGTTGATAGTTCTAGAAATATACCTTATATTTTCCTATTTCTAACCTATTGTGCCTAAGAACTCAAATATCCAAATTTTAAAATTATTTCTAAAAAAAAAAAAAGAGTAAGTAGCTTCTGAGGAGGGCTTTTCTATGAGTAAAGTATTTTACTTTGGCATGAACTTTGTGAAAACAGCTGTGGTAGCTCAGAAAAAATTGGGATTTGTATTTGTTTTGGATTTTAAGCAAAATGTAAAAAAAAATTTAAATTAGCTAAAGCATTTTTTAAATTTACTCAGATTTAATTTCTATGTCTTCTTTTATTGTCATTTTTGCTTAAGAATAATCTTATTTCCTTCTTAATAGCACTGCTATTATTAGCTAACTCTGAATCTTGTTAGGTGCTGTCAAGTCAGCTATGTCTCATAGTAACCCTTTACACAACAGATAAATCCTTGCCCTTTTCTTGTGCCTTGCTAGCAATCTCCACCATGCTCTGTATTGGTTTTTTTAAACCTTTAACTCTGTATAGATTTTTTAAAATATGTGCTGTTAATCTTTTCAAGGGTCCAAAGCAAGATAAAACTTCAGAAGGGCAAGCACTGAGTGAAGCAAGAAAGCATCTAAAGGAAGAGACACAATTACGACTGGTAATCTTTGATAAACTTGTGACAATTGAAGAACACATAAAAAGAGATTTAATAACACAGATGTAGATAGGAATATCCACACTAAACTAATTTTATGGCCCCTATAAAAATTCTCATTCTCTTTAACTTGCTTTTCTGAGTATTTTAAAGGTCAGTACATCTTTTCTAAACTTTTCTTTGGGGTTTTTTTCATACATTGTATAAGAACATTAGGGAGCCGTGGTGCCATAGTAGATAAAGAGTTGTGCTGCCAACTCAAAGGCAGTCAGTTCTAATCCATTAGCTGCTCTGTGGGAGAAAGATGAGCAGTCGACTCTCATGCTATTTACAGCCTCTGAAAACCTACTGGAGATCAGCTGTTGAGTTGGTTCCAACTTCACAGCCATGAACAGCAATCTTTTTGGGTGCCATCAAGTCAAGTATGACTCAGCAACTCTGTGAACAACAAATCTGAATCCTGTCCTAGCCTGTGCCATCCTCACACTCTCTGACCCACTTGAGCCCATTGTTGCAGTCACTATGTCCTCCTGCTTGCTTGAGGGTCTTCCTCTCTTTTGCTCTCCTTCCACTTTTCCAAGCATGATGTTCCTCTCCAACGAACAGATGCCCCAAGTATGTGAGACGGAAATTTTATCATCTTTGCCCCAAAGGAGCACTCTGGCTCTACCTTCTCCAAGACATAGATATTTGTTCTTTGGCCATCTATGGGATAATTTGTGTTCTTCTCCAACACCACAATTCAGAGGCATAAATTCTTTTTTTTTATCATCATTATTCACTGTCCAGCTCTCAGCATCATAGCAAGTGAGTGAAGACCATGGTCTGAATAAGGCCTTAGTCCTCAAACTAACATCATTACTCCTCAATAATTTGGAGAGGTCCCAGACTGCAGAGTCTCCCAGTGCTAATATATACCTATATTTAGTATATGGGCCCTAAATTTTAATAATGAAATCTTCACTCCTCACTCAGTCCTAGTCCCTGCATAGATCAGAAAGAGCAGCTTCTCTTCCTTTTACTAAATCACTAACATAGAATTGTACTCTTATTTTTAGTTTTTATTCTGAATTTATTGTTGTGGGCAATCTCCTCTGTGTGCAGTTAACTGCCTCTGAAAACCCACTGGAGGGTCAGCTATGAGTCACTTCCACAAGTGGTACTCAGCAACAGACATATATAGAAAAAATGTGTCGTCCAATATTGGTTTTAAAAGTATTTTTAGAAATTACATAGAAATCAGGGAGCTCTGGTGGCCTAGTGAAAAGAAGCTGTGCTACAATCCTGATGGCACATGGTTTGAGGCCACCAGCTGCTCCATGGACGAAGGAAAGGCAGTCTCCTCCTGCATGATTAACTGTCTCTGAAAACCTGCCAGAGGGTCACCTATGGGTTGGTTCCAATTGCACAGTACACAACAACAACATAATGGAGAAATAATATTCCTGTAATAAACTTTATCCACATATCATATTAGTATTTTAATACTTTTAGTGCATATGATGTGCAAACTGGGTTTAGAAGAGACTGTGACTCTAGAGATAATATTGCTAGTTAAATGAATATTGGCTGAAAGCAGATAGTACCAGAGGAATGTTTATCTGTGTTTCATTTACTATGCAAAGATATTTGTGTGGATTTTGACTGTGTGGATCACAACAAACTGTGGCTAACTCTGAGAAGAATGGGAATCCAAGAACACTTGATTGTGCTTATGTGAAACCTATACATGGACTAGGAGACAATCATCAGAACAGAGCAAGGAAACACTGCATGGTTCAAAATCAGGAAGGGTGTACACAAGGGAAGCTTCCTATTTCCGTATCTTTTCAGTCTTTATGGAGAACAGATCATCTGGGAGGCTGGGTTCTATGAGAGGGAATGTGTCATCAGGATTGGAGGAAGACTCATCAACAGCTTGCATTATACTGATGCAGGAGGTCAAGGACTGCAGCCTTCAATATGGATTTAAGCTCAACATCAAGAAAACAAAGATTCTCACTACTGTGCTAATTGGCAGCATCATGATAGATGAAGAGATTGAGATTGCTAACAGCTTCAGTTTGCTTGGCACCACAATCAACATTCTTGGGACCAGCAGCCAGGAACTTAAAAGGCAAATTGCATTGGGAAAGTTGGCTGTCAGAGACCTCTCTAGAGTGCTGAAGAGCAATGATTTCAGTCTGGAGACTAAGATGAACCTGATGCATGCCATGGTCTTTGAAGTTACTTGCTATGCATCAGAAAGCTGAACATTGGCTAGGGATGATAAGAGAATTGTTGCCTTTGAGCTGGGGTGCTGGAGAAGAGTATTGAATATACCATGGACTGCTAGAACAAACAGGCTCCTCCTGGAGAAGGTGAAACCAGGCTCTTCCTTGGAGTCAAGGATTCTGAAGCTTTGTCTGACATGCTTTGGACATGTTGCAAGGAGGTACCAATCCTGGAGAGGGACATTATGCTTGGCAGGGTGGAGGGACAGCACAAGAGAGGGAGAACCTCAGTGAGATGGATTGACTCAGTGACTTGGGTAATGAGAGTAGATTCGTCAGAGACAATAAGGTTGGCTCAGGATAGAGCAGGGTTCAGAGCTTTTGTACATAGGGTCGCTATGAGTTGCAAACGACTCGATGGCACATAACAGCTACAACAACAGTGCATTATACTATTAAGCAAAAGTCTCCTTGTCTCTGACATGTTGAATCTTCTAGCCACTTTGCAGAAGAAGAAAGTCTCCTCCCATTAGATTTAGAGCCTTGGAAACCCAATAGAGGGTTCCTATGAGTTGGAATCAACATGATGACAGGAAAGTTGTTTTGAGTATTAGTTTTGAATACCTGTGTAGTTCAAATAGTACAGCATTCAACTATTAACCTTAAAAGTTGACAATTTGAGGGGAGCTCTGGTGGCCTAGTGGCAAGGAGCTGCAACTACAATCCCAGAGGCACATGG